AGTGGTTAGACCCAGGAGCTTATATACTATGTTAACAATAAGTGATAATTTTTAGAGAAGTGATAAGACAAAGGAAAAGAGGTTTGGGCTTGTAGGGGCAGTAAATTGTGGGAAGGTAAATATATGGGGGAAACTAATAGAAGATAAGGGTGTTTTAGCAAGGTCTAAATGGTTGTCTGTAGAAAGGTTTTGTGAACAGCCATCTTGGTGCTGACTTTCTGTTCCCAGTGATACTAGTTGGTTTCCTCATGGTATGGGAGAGGAGAGGAGGAACAATTTCACAAAGGGAAATTTATATCTTGCTTTTAGGCAGAGGGAGGAAGGGCAAAGAGCTCTTTCTGCATTTGTTACTTCTTAATTGCTTTCAGCTCAAAATAATCATAATACCAAATTGGCATATTTTAGGGTAGCATATTCTGGTCCCCTTCAATAGCTAATGACAAGATCTTACATTTTTATGTCTTGCATTTGATTTTTCCACACACTTTCACAACCTTTATCCCACATTGCCATGAAGTTAGCAGGACAATGATGATTATTCCTACTTTAGAGAAAAGGAAACTGAGGCCCTAAAAAGTAAAATGGCCTGTTTAAAACTATCCAGTTTGTTAGAGGGAAAGACAGAGGTACTAAAAGGCAAGTCTCCCCATCCAGTGGTCATTTCAACCTCTTATAATATCTAATCTCTTATGAATCTTCCATTCAGTCGTAAGGGATCTAGCAGTCTGCTTCCCCTGCCCCACGACTTTCCAAGCTGTACAGAGCTTTCAGATCACGTGAGAAGGAAGGGGAAATACAATCCATAGGGGGAAAAAATCTCTCTATAGTTCTGAGAAAGGGTAAGTTATTTTATTTGTAATATTCTGGTTGGAGAATGAGGTTGAGAGTGCTTCAAGGTCTCAAGCAATGGTCCATTGGAATAAATGGGGGGTGAAGGTCCTTCATTTGGTCTGATCAAACTAGTCCAGTGTAGAGTGGGATCCTGGCTGAGCCCAAAGTGAGACTCAGAAATGTCTGAAAACTGCCTGAGGCATTCATCATTCAACGGCAGCCTGAACCTGTACTTGCATGGCAATGGTTGTCTTTAAGAGAAGGTTCTCTATGCTGTTGGTCCCTGAAGAGCAGAGACAGAGACCAGGTGGTGGGTGGGAGGATGGCAGAAAGGTGGAGGAATGGAACAGAGTAACATTTACTCTCTAGCTGTGCCCCAAGGATGGGGAGTGTGGAGAGGGTTCCTGGCATCTCTTCACATGGAGTAAAATTGTTTTGAAGAGATCTGTGGATTTATAGGACCATGGGTTTAGAGGGGTCAGGTATAGAGACCAGGTAGAAGAATATGGAAATGAGGGTTAAAGGGTGGGTCTGGAGAGGGGACCTGCAGGCCTTTGTTCCCCTAGCACAGGAGCCAAGTCTAAAAGTCTGAGCTGGGATGGGGAGATGTTGCTGCAGGGAGAAGTTGCCATTTTTCTCACAGGCCCTCACTGAAAGGCAGGGTAGAAGCAATGTTGTTTAAGCGTCTAGGTGACAAAATGTGGCACACAACTCAAAAGGGCATTTCCACCCTCTGGGTGGACCCATCAGTGCCTTCAGCCAAAGCTGCTGGGAGAGAGGCAGCACCATTTAGGCCCTCTCAGATGTGCAGCTGTGAGCACCCCAGAATCCACGGCATCCCCCAGCAGGGGCCTCTGTGTTCCCAAAGCTGGCAGCACCCACCAGCAGCTGGGGTCAGGAGCACAGGCTGCCCTCAAGTGACAATATGGGCAGCTGACCGCCATGGGGCAGGACAGGAGTCAAGAACAACAGGAGAGGACTATCTCAGAGCAGCTGAAACTGCTGGGGTCTTCGATAGGTAACTGGAAGAAACTTTCAAGGGATTGAGTCCTATAACATAGGTGGAGACAGAGGTCGGTGACATCTGAGTCTTTCTTACTTATGGGGCCTTATTTTCCCCCATGGGCTGGTGAGGCCTGGGGAAACTTGAAAGACCATTTTATAGCAGAGGAAATTACCTCAAGTACTTGGGCATATGATAGCCCAGCTCCATGTAGATGCTGAGTGGCTCCTGAAACCCTTCTAAATATAACTTTAGGATGGGCAGAACAGAGACTGAGCTCTGGTTGGGTATGATTAGGCTCCATTTGTTCCATTTATCTCTAGTGATGTTAGCTTGAAGGAGAGGAAAGGCAAAAAGCAAAAGGAAGAAGAATGGCTAGGGAGAAAAACAAAGAAAAGGATTGTGGTTTTTCTCTATTACCATGGCTATAAGAAAATCAGCTTCATTTTTAAGACATTTTCTTTCCTTTGTACATTTTCCAGGCATGAGTTGTGAATTCTATATTATCTTTGTGTTTTTTTCAGTAGAGAAAAAACCTGACAGTGCTTTTCCTAGCTAACAGCAATCCTGGCTGAACATGTACATCCAAATTCCTCGGGCCTGGACTAGGGCAGGTGTGAGCCAACAGGCCCAAAGGGGGGAAAGTTGGGTCCCCAGGAGCCAGACATCTCCCTGTGTGGAATCTCTATTTCCCAATTTATTGCGCCTTCTTTTTCCCGAGGCAACAGCACTGGTGACTGAGGCAGCTGCAGGTATTCCACAGAGCCAGATTTCTATGTACAGTATCGTGGCACTGCCAATTTGTCTGATGATCTTTGTTTTTCTAAGAATTATTTTCCACTTCCTGGAATCAGACCCAATGTTTAGGGTAATGGACCAGTGGACTTGAGGACTCAGAGAGGATTTGGTCTCTGTCCCATCTTTCCATCTCTGCTGCCACCAACCTAGATTGACTCATAGGGCCAGTCTCCTGAACTATTGCAGTAGGAGGCTCAATTGCTCTCTGACCCCTTCCTCCATCCTGCCTCCAAACTATTGCCAAGTTAGCTTCTAAAATATGTTTCTACATTCTGTAATAAAGACATCTGCACTCGAATGTTTATGGCAGCACAATTCACTATTGCAAGGATGTGGAAACCCAAGTGCCCTTCAATCCATGAGTGGATTAATAAAATATGGTATATGTATACAATGGAATACTACTCAATTACAAAAAACAGTGGTGATCTAGCACCTCTTATTTTTTCCTGGATAGAGCTTGAGTCCATCCTCTGAATTGAGGTATCACAGGAATGGAGGAATAGGCACCACATGTGCTCGCCATCAAATTGGCACTAACTGATCAACACTAAGGTGCTCACACAGTAGTAATATTCTGTGGGGGTGGGTAAACTCACAACTAATGGACCCAGTGAGCGTTGTATGGGGGAAGGACACGCCTCTAATCCTGGCTTGGATGAGGCAAAGTCATAATACGTAACCAAAATGTTTGTACCCCCATAATATCCTGAAATAAAAATAAAATAAAATAAAATAAAATATGTTTCTAATCACGTCACTCCTACTGTTTTTGAAAGACCTTTGAGTAACCCATTTATTTGGACTATTATTGAATAAATAAATTGACCCTATTTGTATTAAATTTCCCATTATCCAGATGTCTTGTCTTCATAGCCTTCACCACACTCCAATCTAACTTAAGTGTGTTCTTGTTTATTGCCTGGCTCCTCATCCATTGGAGGGACATGAGCAGGTCCTTAACCATCTGTCCCTAAAACAGTGGCTGACACGTTAGATAATAAATACTGGTTTGCTGGAGCCCATTCTCCGAAGTGAACTATAGCAAGAATGGAAAAACAAGCACCACATGTACTCACCATCGAATTGGTACTAATCGATCAACACTTATATGCGCATATGAAAGTAACATTCATCGGGTGTCCGGCAGGTAGGAGCAGGGTGGAGGGGATGGGTATATTCACACCTAATGGGTGCGGTGCACACCATCTGGGAGATGGGCATGCATGTAGCTCTGACTCAGGTGGGGCAAAGGCAATATATGTAACCTAAATGTTTGTACCCCCGTAATATGCTGAAATTTTAAAAAATTGGTTGATTTAAGGACTCAATAAATCAAATTCTAGTAGCCACAATAAATTCCTTTTTTCGTAAATGAATTTTATTTGCTTTTACAATTACAAATGTAATACATGCTTGCTGTAGAGAATCTGGAAAGTGCAGAGAAGTAGAAAGAAAATAAGAAACACCCATAACCCTACCACTTGAAGGCCAACACTGCTCACATTATGTTCTAACTATCTGTGCCTGTTTAGAGACCAAGCCCCTCATCAAGACTGCTGGCCATGAAGCACAAAAGCCAAGGGGAGTGAGGGCAATTAACAACTGAGGGGTTCAACCAGAGGTCAGAGCTAGAGATTCCACACTGAGGGACCAGATAAGAGCCACGGATCAAGAGGTCAAAAGCTGACAACACAAGAGCAAGTTGGGTTGCTGTAAGAATGTAGTGAGATGGTGCTTGTCAAGAGTTTAGCCCAGTGTCTGTCACATGGTACATTATCAATAACTGTTAGCCATTACTATCACTATTATTATTATTATGGGTCAAAACGAATGGTTCAGGACGGAGACTATAAACAGGGCAAGGGCCCTGGAGACCCATTTTAGGTGCTATGAGTTGGGGCATATGGGGGAAGTCTACTGGATTAAAAGGGTGGTACAGGAGTGGGCATCACTCTCCTTATAGGCTCCCCTGCCAGGCGAAATGGAACCAGGGCTTCCTCAAGTTTGCCTGCTGACACATGGCAAAATACTCTAAGGTGTTTCTGAGGTAGGACATGATTTCTCCTGCCTAGACTTCTCCCTGGACCAAGAACTAGGACCGGCCTCAATGAAGCTGGGAGTTCAGAACCTCATACACCATATGCTCTTATAGTCCACACTCTGATTGTCAGGGCAGGTCACAGGCATGTGGGTGAAAGAGAAGGTCAAGTCAGCCAAGTAAGAGATAGGGTGGGATGTCCTTGGAGGGGGAGGCTGAAGGGTGAAGGCAACAAGGTTTATGATGTAGTTGAATGGAATGGGTCCAGGATCCAGTCCTCAAGTTAGCAGCTGAGTCAGATATCACAGGAGAAGAGTCCAAGGAGCATTACTTATTGGTGGGGGCCTTCTGCTGGCCTGTGCTCTGTCCAAGGTGGTCGTGAAGACCTTCTTGGGGATCTGCATGCTCTTTCAGGTAGTAACAGCGTTTGGGAACGTGCTGGTGCTAGGAGTGAGAAAAAATAACAGAGGTGAGAGCCACATTTACTATGACAAGGGGTGTTCTTCCGGCTTAAGTTCAGTGACCTAGTAGATCAAGGAACCCGGCTAATTTATCTACTTGTATAAAATGTGACCAAGGTCTAGACTAGCCAAATTCCCTGGTTGTGTGAGTCCACAACACATGTGGCTGTATGTGGGTCCCAGGCCCCAAAAGAAGAGCCCTCCCTTAGAATTGGACTTGGAACAAGTAGAGAGTTGGGACTGAGCCCAGCCAGTTCCCTCATACTCAGAAGACTTAGGACTTTAACCAGCCCAGGCCCTCAGTAACTTGGGCAGGACATTGCTTCTCGAAGTGATTAATACCCCTAAAATAACTGCAGAGCCACACTTGCCTTAGCTCAATGCCTCCCCCTTACCCCTTCCTGATTCTACTCAAAAGAGCAAGATGTATTCCCTATCATTGTCTCCTCATTTTTCTGCTCAAAAACCTTGAGTGTATTTCCCCCTCATTACCTCCTCTGTCTGCTGCTGAGAGCTCAGTTCATTCTCCATGGCCTCCTCATTATTCCGCTTGCAGGCTGTCGGCAGAACCTGGCTTGAGTTGCCCGGGGAAGCCTTCTCTTCAGCCAGCTGGCACTCGGTATAGAGAGACCTGTCTATCAGCTCCTTTAGGCTGCTGGCCACCTTCAGGAAGATCCGACCCATTTTGGTGGTAACAGCTTCCGAGAGTCCTTCCAGAAACCTGGTCCGTAGAATGGCATCAGACCAAGACAAATGTCGGGCCAGCAGTAGGAAGTCAGTGGCATATTGCCTGACTGACTTCTGGCCCTGCTTAGGATGGCAGAGAACAGCACTGAGGATGTCTATCTCAGATAGGGAGTCATATAAGCCCTGGGATCTGCTCAGGAAAGATTTATTTTCATCTGAGAGTGGGTTTCCTACTTCCATCTGCAAGATGGACCACCTCTCTGCTGCCCCCAGATGAAGAGACACCAGAAATGCCATTTTCTCTGAATCGTCCAAAAAACCCTTCATTTGCTTCTCCTCATCAATCTCCATCTCTTCCTCCACAGAGCACGAGCCCCGGGCTGCTTCCTGCTCTTCTAAGAGGTAATAGAGTGCTGGGGTCAACATTCCAAAGGATGGCACTTCCCTTGGTGGCGGGTTCCTAGTTTCAGGGGTTCTGGCAGTTACGTGCGGTGTGGGCTTTGATCCAGAGGCTGTGATGTTGATGTGAGAGGCAGATGCCTCTCCAGAGTTTGTGGCTTTGATTTTCAGAGTGGACATCATCCCAAAGGTTGTTTGCGGCGTGGATATTGCTCCGGTGGCTGGGGCCTTCCTTAGTGGCGTGGACATAGCTCCAGAGGCTGTGGCTCTCATTTGTGGTGTGGACATCGCTCCAGAGGCTGAGGATCTCATAAGCGGTGTGGACAACGCTCCAGAAGCAGAGGCTCTCATTGGCGATGTGGTCATCCTTCCAGAAGCCGTGTGTGTCGTCTGTGGCAAGGACATAGATCTAGAGTTCATGACTCTGGTTTGCAATGCAGACATTGCTCCAGAGGCCATGGTTGTCGTTAGCGGCATAGACATCTCTCCAGAAGCCATGGCTGACTTCAAAGGCATGGGCATTGTTCCAGAGGCTGAGGATCTCCTTAATGGCTTGGACATCCCTCCAGAGGCCATGGCTGTCATTTGTGCAGTGGACATCTTTCCAGAGGCTGGAGCTCTCATTAACTCCGTGGGCACAGCTGCAGAGGCTGAGGGTCTCCTTAGTGGTGTCGACATAGTTCCAGAAGCTGGAGCTCTTACTAGTGGTGGAGATACCCCTCCAGAGGCTGGAGCTCGCATTGGTAGTGTGCACATGTCTCCAGAAGCTGTGGGCATCATTTGTGGTGTAGATGTCGCTCTGGAGGCCGAGGTTCTCATCAGCGGCATGGACATCCCTCCAGAGGCTGTGGACGTCACTTGAGGCATGGTCAGAACTCCAGAAGCTGTGGATCTTATTAGTGGTGTGGACATTGCTCCAGAGACTGGAGCCTTCCTTCGTGGCATGGACATCATTCCAGAGGCTGTGGCTGTCATTTGTGGAGCAGACATTGCTCCATAAGCTGGGGCTCTCAGAGGTGTAGCTATCTCTTGTGAAGCCAGGGGGCACATTAGTGGCAAGGATATCTCTCCAGAGTCTGAGGCTCTCAGTAGTGGTGTGCTTATTGCTCCAGGGGCCCGGGCTCTCATTATTGGTGTGGACATCATGTCAGAGGCCGAGGATCTCATCTGCAGCCCTCCAGAGGTCACGGATCTCATGAGCGATGTGGACATCCCTCCGGAGTCTCGGGTGCTCATCTGACTGGGCATCTTTCCAGAACCTGTGCCTCTCATTAGTGGCATGGGCATTGATCCAGGGCCTGGGGCTCTCATTGGTGGCATGGACATTGCTCCAGAGGCTGTGGCTCTCCTTCGCAGTGTAGACATCTCTCCAGACGCTGTGTCTGTCATTTCTGGCATGGATAGAGCTCCAGAGGCTGTGTCTCTCATTAGCGATGTGGACATCGCTCCAGAAGCTGTGGTTGTCATTTGCTCCATAAACATTGTTCCAGAGGCTTTGGATGTCATTAGTGGCTTGGACAATGCCTCAGAGGCCAGAGATCTCATTGGTGGCATGGACATCCCTCCTGAGGCTGCGTCTCTCATTAACAATGTCGATGTTGATCCAGAGAATTTTGTTGTCATTAGTGGGGTGGCTATTGCTCCAGAGGCTGTGGCTCTCATTTGTGGTGTAGATGTCAGTCCTGAGGCTGTGGTTCTCATTTGTGACACAGACATTGCTCCCGAAACAGGGGTTCTCGTTTGCAGCATGGACATTGACCCAGAGGCTGGAGCTGTCAACTGGGGCATGTGCATTGACCCAGACGCTGTGGCTGTAACTGGTTGGATGGACATTGCTCCAGAGACTGGGGCTCTCCTTAGTGGTGTGGACATCTTTGCACAGGCTGGGGCTCTTGTGCTCTGTGTAGACATTGCTCTGTTGGCTGTGGCTTTGATAAAGCCTGTGGGCATTGCTCCAGAAGTTTTGGTCATTGTTAACTGTGTGGACATCACTTTAGAGGTTGTGGTTGGCATTTGCTCTGTGGATATTGCTGCAGAGCTTGTGACTGTCATCAGTGGGGTGGCCATTGCTCCTGAGGCTGGGACTGTCTTTTGCAAGGTAGACATATTTCCAGAGGCTGGGGCTCTCATTAGCGGTGTAGGCATTGCTCCAGAGTCTGAAGCTCTCACTGATGGTGTGGACATCACCCTGGAGGCTGTTGCCGTCATTGGTGGAGTGGACATGATTTCAGAGTCTAGATTTTGTGTTGCCCATGGGGACATCACACCAGAGCCTGGGGCTGACATCAGTTGGGTAGGCATCACTCCAGAGGTTAGGGCTGTCATTAGCAGTGGGGACACTGCTTCAGTGTCTGGGGCTTGCTTTGGTAATGTAGACATTTCTCCAGCATTTGGGACTGACAGTAGCGGTGTAGACATTGCTTCAGAGTCTGGAGCGGACATTAGCAGTGAAGACATTACTCGAGAGTCTGAGTCTGACATGAGCGGGGTGGACATTCCCCCAGAGTCTTGGGTGCTTGTTGGCTGGGTTGATGTATCTCCAGAAGCTAGGGCTGACATTATCAGTGAGGATAGCGCTTCCGAGTCTGTGTCTGACATTAGCAGTGAAGATATCTCTCCAGAGGCTAGGGCAGTCATTAGCACTTTGGACATCGCTTCAGTGTCTTCATCTGTAATTTGCAATGGGGACATTGCTTCAGAGCCTGGAGCTGGCATTGGCTGTGTGGACATCCCTCCACAGTTTATATCTGGCATTAGGAGTGGGGATATCTCTCCAGGATCTGGAGCTAGCATTAACGGTGTGGACATTGCCTCAGAGGATGAGGTGCTCATTATAGATGTAGACATTGCTCCAGAGGAAGGAGCTGGCATTTCCAATGGTGATAGCTCTGCAGAATCTGGAGCTGCCATTAATGCTGTGGACATGGTCCCAAAGTCAGCAATTGTCATCATCCCTGGAGACATTAACCCATAATCTGAAGTGGACAGCAATGGCGATAATGTTTCTGAATCTGAGGCTGGCGTTAGCAATGGGGACAGTGCCCCGGAATCTGAGGCTGGCATTAGCAATGGGGACAATTCCCCAGGGTCTGAGGCTGGCGTTAGCAAAGGGGACAGTGGCCCAGAGTCTGAATCTTGCATTAGCGGTGGGGACACTGTTCCAGAGTTTGGTGTTTCCATTAGAGGTGTAGACGTAGTGTCAAAGCCCGAGGGTGTCATCAACTGTGTGGAAGTCCCTCCAGGGTTTGAGGCTGAAGTTGAAACTATAGGCAACTGTGCATGAGAATGCAGGATTTGGACATCAGCTCTGCTCTCTGGCATTGGTCTAGAGAGGGTCATCCCCCTGTTTTGAGGGTCGATATTTTCCTCCCTCATCATATCGTTGAATCGCAGAGAATGTAAGGGTATTGACATATCTGCCACGGCCACAGGACAGTGTGGAGAGAGCCCTTAAAGTGATGACATTAGGGGTCCTGCTGAAGCCCACATAGCAAGAAAATCTGTAAACAGGAAACAAGTTTAGAGGTCAAAAGTCAATATCAAGGAGGTTGGGAAACACAAATGATTCACAGTGGAGACCTGTTTTTGTGTGTTACCAGGTACATGGTATTGAAGATGGGCCTATCAGATTAAAGAAGCTGTGCATCAATGAACAACTTTGGAGCTAGAGAAAATATCCCTTCTGCCTCTATCCTTTTCAAATCAACCCACCTAGTTACACAGCACAGCCTCTCCGTTTATAAGTGCTGTAAATGCCACAGCAGCGAGCCTGGGTAATCCCAGATCAAATGAAGCGGCGGCACCACCTTCTGGCCGTATATGAGAAGTGCCGGTTCCTGGGCTACATTCTGTCCCACCGTGGCACAAGACAGCCAAGGTACTTACTGGCCAGTCTGGATGGGAAAGCCCTTTGCCCCAAGATAATCATTAGTTCCTCGAGCTTGATGAATCCTGCCAGCGGTTTAGTTACCATTTTACTACTCGATGGCCCTGAATGTCCTCCTCAGAAAAAGGAAGGCATTTATCTGATCAATGACTGGGAGCAACATTCTACGAACTGAAAATTCTGCTTATTATTATCATTATTATTATTAATAACAACCACCACCATTACTACTACTATTTATTGCTCACTTATGTGCCAGGCACTGTACTTTAGGCAACTGTACACAACTGCCTGTAATGTTCATGGCTTTATAAGCATTATTCCATGTGGGTCTCACAAGATCCTATGCAATAGATAATATTATTATTCCCACTTCACCAGCTTTCTCGGATTAGCCAGAATTGAGGCTAAAATAGGATCACGGCGACAGCAACAAAATGTATATCTTTGATTCTCACCCCCTCCCGGAGGTTGCCTAATCTTTGGCATCCCTAAGGTTGTATTCAATTATTTCTCTGGCATCCTAGACCATCGCTCATTGAAGCCCAGTCTATAGTATGTACAGATTTCAAGTTCCTCTGATGACATGGGGGTGGACAATCCCAAAGTCCTACCCTTCCAGCCCTGCTGCCATAAAAAGCCCCAAAAGAGGCTCTTTGACACACAGCTTGGAAACTAATGCAAATATTACACAATGTTGACATGTCCCCATAGCCTACCCATGCTAAAACTGGAAGACTTGCTACTTGGGGACAATGTAACAAAAGTCATCAACATAATGGCCTTGTGCCTTCATAATAATAACAACAAGAAAACCAGCAACAGAAATACCAACAGCGAACATTTCTTGAGGACGCACTGACTGGCAAGCACTCTGCTAGGCACTTCATGTGCATCATCTCATTGGATCCCCACAGCAACACTAAGAGATTTTGGTAGCATTCTTCCTTCATCTTACAAATGAGAAAATTCAGGCCCAGAGAAGCTTAATAACTTGCCTGCAGTCACACAGATTCCCAGGTCTGTCCACCTTCAGAGCCCCCTACTCTTCACTATTGTGCTGCAATGATCCATTTTTCCCCCTTACTAAGTCACATTACCAAGACCCCTTCCTCTATCTCCAACCCTGAGATGGGGTGTCATAAAGGAAATGCTGGCCTCCCGCTGACACCTTGGTTATTGTAATAATTGGTGCAGTGGGAAAGATGAGTCCAAACAGTGGTCATAGACCTCCACCTCTCGGCTTCAGAAAAATCCCTGAACGTGCCAGAGTCTCCCACCAGGCTAAACCCAGAAAGATCTTACCTTGCCAGTGACAGAGGAAAGGGAGAGAGTATCCTTTGTGCCCCCAGCTCCTTTATTCTGGACAATTGACTTATACCCCGTGCCCAACCAGTTCATTAAAGTAAGACCCAATACCAGCAGCTGTTCTCTGCAATCTCCCTTAGCTATCCCCTGCCACGCCCCCCTGCCCGCCAGCCAGCCTGCCCGCCCACCCGCTCTACTGCTCCTGACTTGCTACTGCTTGCTCTGTCTCTCTGGTCCCAGATTCCTGCCTCTATATAGGCTCTGACATTTGCCTCTGGCCGCCTTGCACTTGACAGCCCTCCAGAAGCTCCGCTTTAACACTTGGCCTATGCAACTCCACCCCACTCCCCCTCACCCCCAACAGTCCCACCAGCCTACACCTCGCCCCACTGTGCCTGCCTCTGGGGGTCCTAAAGAGAAGAGGAGATTGGCACAATTAAGGAGATGAGACTGAAAGGATCCTGACTCAGGAAATAAGACATATGCCCTCTGAAGTTGGGCAGACACAGAAGTCCTGGGGGCCGGGCACTGCAATTGGTATGCCATGGAAGCACAGGCAGGGGCTTTGAAGGAGGGGAACTAGGGCTGGAGATCGAGTGCAGCAGTGTCAGAAACAGTCAAAGAGATTCGAGTGCAGGGAAAGCAGAGCTTGAGAGGATGGGCAGTGGGAGCTGGGGAGCAAACACCATAATAGAGCCCTGCAACTGTGATAATAACCAAGCCAATTTGCCCCAGGGTCAGAGACACAGAGGGAAATCCAGCAACCCGTGTCCCTGCCACAGGGCTAGGATTCAGCAGCAAGGCTCCATGGATTTCAGACAGCTGGCAAGAAAACCACGCCAGTTTTGAGCATACCAGGTGAGGGCTTGTTCATAGAAACAGAGCCACAGCCTGCTTTCTAGAACAGGGGCACAAGGTCAGAGTAGAACTAGCAGGAAGGTTTACCAGAGTCCTCCAGTCTGCTTGAATCAATACCATTTAAACCCTCAGTCTAAGGGCAGAATTGGTCCCTGAGCCCTGGAGAGGGCAACACCTCCCCGTGAAGTTCAAGCAGCCCAGGCACAGGGAAGCAGAGTTTGGCGAGGGAGGCATTCAGGTTGTTATAAACCTTATAATTAGCAACCAACAGTAACTGAGCGCTTGAGCTAAGCGCTACATATGCATTGTATTTTTCTGGCCTCCCGGCAACACCTGTAAGGTAGGCACTGGCATCATTCCCATTTTATACATGGGGAAATGGGCTTAGAGAAGTCTATGTAACCAAGGTCACAGAGCTAGTAAATGGCAAAGCCCAGATTTGAGCCCCAATCAGGCTGGTTCCAAAATCATTGTCTCTCTTTGTAATCAGACAAGTGATTAAAAACTCAAGGTGCTCTACTCACCGCCATTTCCCCCCCACCCCCATATCACCAAGCAAGGGAACTTTCTTACAACAAATGGCTGAATCATTGCAGTAGTAGTAATAATAATAATAATACCAACTAACCTTGCTTGAACTCTTCCCATATGCTAAGAATGGTGCTAAGAGCTCTCACCAGCATTATCTCATTTGGTCTTTACAACTACCCTGCAAACTAGGTCCTTTAAATTCCCAGTTTACAGGTAAGGAAACTGAGCTTCAGTGAATTGACTTGATGAAAAGCACACAGCCCTATCTTGCTCCAGAGCTCACTATAGTATACTACTCAAAAAGAAAAATTCCAGTCATTCTCCCTTCTCCTCTAAACCAAAAAACAGTCACAGAAAACCCACTCTATCAACAACAGCATCATAACAACTATTATTAGTATTAATATACGTAACAATAAAAAGCTAACATTTACTGTGCCAGGCACTGGGCTAAGCACTTACCTACATGATCTCACTTGATACCCCCAACATCCCTATGATATAGGGACTAGTATCACCTTCATTTTCCAGATGAGAAACCAGAAGCACAGAGAGGTTGACTAGCTTTCCTAATGTCACACAGCCATAGAGCACTTTATGTTGTTTATGTCCTAACGTAACAATTTTGGAAATAACCTAAATGCCTAATGTTAGAACATAATTCATTTAATGATTAAATGAATCATGGTGCAGCTGTAGCAGCCACTAATGTAACCATTGAAAATTATATTCCAGCATGCACATAATGATCTGATTTTTATAAAATAGATGTGTAGATTTTTGCGTAGAAAAAGTAAAGCCTGGAAAGATACATATCAAAATGTTAACAGTGACTCTACTTTAATGTCAGGATTAGAGGGGATTTTTATTTTCATTTTCCTTATTTGTATTTTCTCATTTGTCTATAATGGACCCATAATACTTGTATAAAAAAATAATAAAAGTTAATTTTCTTTGATCTAGGGTTCTATCTCTAGCCCTTCCCACGCCCCTCCCTACATGCTCACTCTAGGGATCCCCAACATCCCCTACCCACGCAACCTTTCTCCCCCAAGAAGCTTAGCGGTTGCACCACTAGGATCTGTGGTCAGCAATGACCTCTGAAAAGTGTCTCCAAAGACTGGCTTTTATTTTATATTTTTTGGTTTGTTTTTACAAAAAGATTTCTTGTTTCTCTAACTTTTATTTATGTTTAATAATTACATAAGTAATCTAGGAATAGACTCTCAGGATAAAAACTTGAAATCCTCCATATGCATAAAGCTAAAGTCCTCAGACTACCCCACCCCCTAACCCTGCAAGTCCCATTCCTCTGCCTGTTCACAGTTGGGTGTGTCTCCTTCCAAACTTTTTCTAGCTGCAATGGCATTCAGAGTTCATATCATGCAATTGCTTGCAAAACCCAGTGTGTGCAAAGAGCTACAGTTAGAAAACCATTCTTGCACTGGTCACCCCAGGGTTCCAAGTTCTGGCCCATCGTCACTGTTTTCATCAGCCTGCTTCTAAGGAGGCTACTAAGAGAGGGTTCTTGTGTGCTCAGCCCATTTGAGGCATAGACTTCCGTTCTATTAAAGCCAGAGTCTCTAGGAACGCAGAGAAGGGAGGCCTTCTAAGGAAAGAAAAGCCCAGAAATTGCTGCTTAGCATCTCTCAGGTCCCTCGTATCCCACTCAGTCTGCACTGATCAATACGGCTAGGAGGTGGCATGCTCCTGCTGCCTCACAAAAGGTAATCAAGTTTGGGGGATTGCATAGCTAGCTGCGCGGGGAAATGAGGATAAACAAGAGACCTTTCAATATGTCAACAAATAGCTTTCCAGCTGTTGAAAATAAGCCTTTCCCTAGATCGTCTCCCCCAGCCCT